CACTCCTTGCCCTGATGGCGTCTCCTTGTCTTCTGGCAGGATACACCAAAAGCCCTACTGTCTTCAGCCAAATCCTGACGAGGGACTTACAAAGTATCATACTTACCTCAGATACGGCGCTCGTACAGTATGTAGATGACCTACTACTAGCATCACGGACTCAGGTAAGCTGCAGGACGGACACTTTAAGACTATTAGAAGGATTAGCTGAAAGAGGACATAAAGTATCCCTGGGAAAGTTACAGTATTGCCAAAAGAAAGTTACATACCTGGGGCATGTGATCTCAGAGGGACTGCAGGAATTGTCTGATGAAAGAGTGAAGGCTATAAAAGACTTGCCAAAGCCTACCACCAAAAGACATATGTGAGCCTTTTTAGGAGCAGCCGGATTTTGCCGGCCGTGGATCCCTACTTATGGAGAGATGGTTAAGCCTCTGGTAGAGACCACTCGGAAAGGAAAACCTGAAGTGGTTCAGTAGACCCCCGAGCTAGACCATGCTTTCCACCAAATTAAACACCAGCTATTGCAAGCCCCTACTCTAGGACTCCCCAACTACGAGAAGCTGTTTGTGTTGTTTGTCCACGAAAGACAGGGAGTCCTAACCCAGAAACTGGGACCTCAGCTACGCCCAGTCGCTTGTTACTCTGCCACCTTAGATCCAGTGGCAAGAAGAGTAGTCAGCTATCTGCGCGCTGTTGCAGCGGCAACACTGCTTGTTGAGCGATCAAAAGAGCTAGTCATGGAGTACCCCCTTGAAGTCAGAGTTCCTCACGAAGTCGAAGCCCTAATGACTAATGAAAAGACTCAAGCCTTCTCTCACCAGCGTTTAGCCCGGTACGAAGTGACTCTGTTAGCTGCTGAGAACATGCGCATCTCACGCTGTACTAGCCTCAACCCGGCCTTGCTTCTGCTTCATCCCGAGGATGGAGAGCCACATCACGACTGCTGCACCGTCGTTCGCATGATGGAAAAGCCCCGAGACGACCTCACTGATGTGCCCCTGAACAATCTTGACTTAGTCTTCTACGTGGATGGGTCTTCCTATATAGAAGCTGGAGTTCGTCGGACCAGGTATGCGGTCATCACTGACTTCAACATCGTTGAAGCAAAGCCCTTATCTCCCCGGTTAAGCGCACAAGCGGCTGAACTGATTGCTTTAACCTGTGCGTGTGAACTGGCAACCGGGATGACTTTAAACGTATACCCTGACAGTCAATATGCGTTTGGGATTTGCCACTCCACTGGCAATTATGGAAACAGCGAGACTTCATTACTTCTTCCAGAGCAAAGTTTGCGAACTCCACTCAAGTTTCTGAGCTCCTGGAAGCCATTCAGAAGCCCAGACAGATAGCCGTAATGCATGTCGCCGCACACACCGACGGGAGCACGCCTGAAGCTAAAGGAAATGAGCTGCTGCCAAAGCCGCCGCTCAGCAACCCATAAGTCTCAATGCCCTTGCTTCTATGCGGGAGAAACCCAGAGCCTTAGAAGGATATGAGCAAGCGTGCAAAGGAGAAGAAGAAGAAGAAGAATGGAAATGTCTCTATGAGGCTGATTCAAAGGATGGACTGTGGTACTCTGGCAATAACCGCCCCATCTTGCCTAAAACACTACAGCGGCCCCTGTGCCAAATAGTCCATGGGCAAAGTCATTATGGGGCAACTGCCATAGCTGAAACCATTCTCTGAATTTGGTTTGCCCCTGGGATCCATGCAGTGACTAAACAAGTGACCAGCATCTGCCCCACTTGCCCAGCATTCAACTCTGGCCCAGAGAGAAAAGCCCCACCTGGGGGCCAACCTTGGGCATATCAACCATTTGAGAGACTGCAAATAGACTTCATCGAACTTCCCCGGTGCTGAGGATACAGATATGCCTTAGTAGTGCGAGATTAGCTCACCCATTGGGTGGAAGCATTTCCTGACACCCGTGCCTCTCATCAGCAAGTCGCTCATGCACTTCTAAAGGACATTATTTCGCGGTTTGGCATACCTCAAGTCATTGACTCAGATCAAGGAGGTCACTTCACCTCCCAGGTCTTACAAACAATTTACACACAGTTGGGAATCACTAGGCAGCTTCACACCCCTTATCACCCTCAATCATCTGGAGGAGTGGAAAGGGCAAATCGAACTCTAAAAACCCTTCTAAGTAAAGTGTGTTCTGAAACTCAGCTTAAGTGGCCCGAAGCATTGCCCCTTGCACTGTTTGCTATGCGAAACGCGCCTAGAGCCGATATTAAGATATCTCCCTATAAGCTTTTGTTTAGTCATCCACCCCCCATTACCCGTAGTTTCCTTCCGCCAACTGCAGGATTGCTAGCAGAGGATGAGAATTTAACCCATTATGTGATTTCTTTGTAGAAGCAGCTTACTACTTTACAGCGTCGTGCTGCCGTTCAGCAACCTGTACCCTTTGATTGTGAAATACACCCCTTCAGTCCTAGTGACTACGTGTGGGTCCGTGTTCCGCGACGGAAAAGTTGCCTAGAGCCAACGTGAGAAGGACCATACCAAGTCCTGCTAACCACCCACTCCGCAATCAAGATCACTGAAAGGAATTCGTGGATCCATCACTCACACGTGAAACCTACTGTATTTACCCCAACGGAACCTCATCGTGTACCTCCCCTTCGGCTGCATAATCCAACAGTCAATGGACAATATGTGCCTTGCAAGTACTGTCATAAGTGTATTTTTACTAGTAGTCTGTCTGCCCACATTAATCGGATGCCCCTGCAGTCTCACCCAGTTCGGAGGAGCCTATCCTGACACGCAACTAGAGTATTCTAACACCAAACAAGTTCAAGACAAAGTTAGTCAAGTCCTGCCTGAAGGGACTTCCGCCGTTATATACAAGTCCAATGCTCCCCCAAGTCACTGTAAGCTGTATGAGTATTACACTAATAACTATGAAATTTGGTGTGCAGACCCCACCACAGGGGCAAGTCAAGCTTACATCCAAAGTAAAACTACTAACCCTGGGGAACAATCATTCTATTCCAAAAGTGGAATCAGGATCTCGGTTTGGTGAGTGTCGTCCCCTAAATTACTATCAATCCTCACCAAAATGTAGAATGGCCTCATAACGCTCTTGTGAAAATGACCAATTCCTACGCGAGTAACCTAAACTTCTCAAACTACTAAGTGTGTACTTGACTACCTAAGCATCCCAGCGTAAGTATTCCTCTCATCAGTTTTGGCCTTAGTTCATTCAATAATTCCTCTATTAGCAAGAGCACCCATAACGACAGTAAATGGTACTATGAATACTGGTTCCTTAACGAAGTAATCCTCCCTGAAGATTCTGTGTGCTATTACAAGCCATGTCTTAGTAGTTTTGCTGTTTGTAAGGAATACCGCAGCCAGTGCTTGTAATATAACAATAACCTTAGATCCATCCTCTCTCGGATGACAAAGTAATGGACCTGTACATGTAGGGCATTATTGGCTTTGTGAGAAAGTTGCATTTAAGCATTTGCCACCCACCTAGTATGGCACGTGCACCCTGGGCACAGTGATCCCAGACATGACACTTCACCCGAACACGTCGCTTCAAGGGTGGCACCGAAACCGCCCACATCAGTTCCGACGAGGGGTGGACCTCAACCCCCTCGTCGAGTGACCTACCTCATTCCATTCCTTTGCCCGATAGTTCATACCTTGACTAAGTGTTTCTGAACTTGAAAAGACTGTTGTAAATCTTTCAGCCTCACTGGAAGTATTAAAGTAACTCAGATTTCTCATATTACTTTGCAAAATCGCCTAGCGTTAAACTTACTTCTTACTAATCAAGGAGGAGTATGTACTTTAGTCAACGATACTTGCTGCACCTATGTAGATGAATCAGGAAAAGAAGATATTCATAAGATCCAGAATATGGCTAGTCAATTCCACGCCATAACCAGAGATAACACCTCTTGGGGTGTACAAGGTGCATGGGCTCTCCTGACATCCTAGTTCCCCGGATTACGATGGACTCACAAACTCGTTGTTATTATTGTTACTCTTAGATGTCTTTTGACTTTAACCTGTTGTTGTATCCAGTGTATTGGAACCCTACCTTCTGTATTATCCACATGTTGTAGATGTACTATGCGTAACATAGAAGAATGTGTTGAAATGTCTAAAGCTGAAGTAAATGCCAGAAACGTTTAGATGCTAAATATGGTAGAAAGTGATCCCAGCCTTTGAAGGCCAGGATCAAAGGGGAGATTGTAGAAATTAATTAGCAAGACCATAGATAATATTGTAGAAATTAACTACAAAGCAGACTCAGTACTTCAAGGACACAGCCTGATAAGACTCCGAATGACTAAATCTAGTCACCTTGAAGTCTGAAGCAATCAAGGATGTAGCCCCCTCCCAATTAGCCAGCATTCCAAAACAGGCACATAGCCACAAAAACCAGTTTGAACCAATTAGGAGTCTCTCAAACTGGCCTGATACCTTGTTATCTGTCACAGTGGAAAATTCCCACCTGCGCGTGCACCTTGACTGTAAACTATAAATTGCCTCTAACAGTTTTATTTGGGGCCTCTGAGCTTGCTCAGGGTGCCCGGTATGCTGAATAAAATTTGAGACTGACAGCGACTCTGTGTCTTTGGGAACAACTCCGCAAGGAGTCATGAAGTCCGCAACAGTGGGAGGTTTACTATACATTACTGTCCCTGTGCCAGAAGACCAGGCTCTTCCCCAGTGCGGCTAGGAAGACCACCTCCATGGCAGGGATCTGGGTTTTCCATTTCCTGTGGAAAAATGGAGAAAACCGCTTTTCTTCTTTTAGCAGAGAAACCTGGAGATTACCGGCTTTTGCAAAGAGCTCTGCAGGCTGGTTGAGCTCCAACTTGCAAAGCTGTTTGCAAACAGGGCGGGAAACTCCCAGTCCTGCAGAGGGGGGAGCGGGGAAGGGTGGGGCTTGAGGCGCTCAGCCAGCTACAGATCAGCTCAGCCTCACTTCGCTCCTGCAGCCTCTGAGGTAAGTGGGGCTTGCAGGGGACTGTGGGTCACGGTTGGGGGCCATGCAGGGCTGGAGGGGAGTCAGAACCCTCCCTGCCCGAGCTGCAGCAACAGCTGGAGCTGGCTTCATGCTTCTGCTGCAGCTGCCTGCTGTTGAGGGCAGGGAGCTGCCGACTTGGGTCCCTGGCCCCATAGCCCTGACAGCTGAGGGGCCCTCCAGCATGTCTGTGGGGCAGGAGCTGTGGGTGGGAGGCAAGAAGCATGAGTAGGGCGGGGGGGCCTGTTGTGGGGTTTGATTGAGGGGCACCAACAAGGCTGTGGGAGGCATTGGGGGGTGTGTGTGAGGGGCACCAGCAGGGCTAGGGGGAGATGTGGGGGCTTTTAATAACAGATTTAGGGATTTTTGTCAGGGAATTTGCAGTGTTTTCATTGGAGAAAACCAGGATCCCTCTCAGTGTTTCCCTTGGCAGGCAAGCATAGACTATGCTTGATCTGAGGCTTCAAGAGGCAGAGAACTGAGGCCTAAGTCCGGAGGCTTAGGGTTCAGATGCCCCTGAGTCTCACTTGCTCTTAGCCAACGGCCACAGGAGCAAGCTAGGGAGGAGTCCCCCATTTTGGTAAAGTAGGCGTGTAGCTGAGATCCCCCCACTGGAAGCTGGCTACTGGGAAGCTAATTACAGGACTCGTAGGACATCCTGTTCACAGTGCACTGGACAGGGATACACCCTGCACTACACAATGCCTTTCAAATCCATCTCAGTCTGGCCAACAGCCCTTGATCACTTGATCTGAGCTAGAAGCAAAAGCTGCTCTACTTCTCTTCCCTACCTGCACTACACATGTGACAGGAGACCTATTGCTCCAGCCAGCTTCAAAGCTACTGCTGTGAGGTTCCACCCCTTCCCAGTCTTCCTAGTCCCCTCCATCACCAGGTGTCTGCCTCTCCATTGCCTTGTTGCTCTGTTCATCACATTGATCTTTCTGGGTAACCAGGTGGGGGCATGGGGCAGAGCTAGCTCTGCTGTCAGCTTCAATGTGTACTCCTTCCAGCTTTGGCATCTGCTAAAGAGAAAAATCATCCTTCCAGCATTGCTCAGCATGTTCCCAGCTTGGGGAACATTTGCATAAAAGAGCTTTAAGTGAGATGTACAATAGTAGTACCCTGCTCGCTTCTCTTATGCTGTAACCACTTGGTTCAGGCTGAGAAGTTTGGGGCAGCAAAATTGTGTTTTGCTTTATGTAAAATCATGCTAAAATTAGATGATTTTTTTTTTTTAGACATCACCAGCGCTATAGAATACTTTGCAAAGGCAACATTGTCACAAGCTCATCAGTGTCAGTTGAACTGTTGCCCTGTAAGTAAAACTTTACTCGTGCTCTGCAAAAACAATTT